AAAAAAGAGCTGGGGACGTGACTCAGTGGTTAAGCACCTCTGGGTTCAATTCCTGGTACCAAAAAATAGAGAAAGAAATTGATCTCTTAAACCTTCTTTTGATACTGGGGATTGAACCCAGGGTCACTTTAAGCTACATCCTTAACCCATTTTATTGTTTATTTTGAGACAGGGTTTTACTAAGTTGCTGAGAGTAGCCTCAAACTTGTGGTCTCATCTCTTACCTCCTGAGTTGCTGGGGTTATAGGTGTGCGCAACTGTGCCGGTCTTTATACCTTCTTGTTTTTCTTTGAGGAAGGTGCTAAAAACAGTGTTATTTGATACATTAAAAATGATAAAATTACCTGGGAGATGTTTGGATGTATTTCTTAAGTGAAGAGCATTGAAGTCGTGGAGGTGGAAGATAAATGATTAGGTGCTATCTGGAGCTCAGTAACTTGATATTCTTCAAGTTCGGCCTGGGAATGGGCATGTTTCATTGGAAGTACTTTGGATTCCTGGGAATGATAAACTTTGTATTTCTATACTTGAGGCCATTTCAGAACTGCATTGAACAAATTGGATGGACAACTTGTTTTGTTTTGGAGCATGATGGRTGGAAGGGGAGAATCTCACTCAATATGGTTAAGAAATCCAAGAYCTCAGTGAGGGAAGAGTTTCAAGGACTGAAGAATGTGCTTAATACATTGGATCTTCTGAAATTCTCCTGTTTCCAATAAAGTTAATTATTGCAAAAATGTATTATATATAAAGATCAAGGCAGCTTACTGCATTGCTTTTCTTGTAGGATGATGTTCAACTTTGGCTGTCCTATGTTGTGTTTTGTAAGAAATGGGTGAGTAAAGCAAAGTCTTGCTCCTCTTTTACTTTCTATTTGTCTACCTTTTAAACTTACTTATTACTGAGCTCCATATTTTCCCCAAAGGTGTAGGATTAACAAATGGGAAAAGAACCCCAGAAGGCTGAAGCTGTACTTCATTGTAACTCTTGTATATCTGAATGTCTATTTAACTTGCTTCCACATCAGTTGAAAAAAATGATTTTTGTGCATATTCACAAAAACCTTAAAACATTATAAATTTAGAATGTGTATGTTTAGTAGTTTAAGAAGAAAATGAATGTATCTTTACTTATTGATATGTCCCTAGCAAGATCTTGCCCTATTAAATTTATAGTTGGTAAGGGTTCAGCAGATACTGTTTATAGATTAATAGTGATGATATCTCTGTGCAGGAAATAGAAAAATTTCTTCCTCTTTTTACAGGCTACCAAAGCTCAACTTAGCAAGGTATTCTCTGCCATGTTGGCTATTCATTCAAATAAGCCAGGTATGGTGAAGTCCTTCTCGTGTTCTTTTTCTGTATTTTATTTAGACTAAAGTCATTTGGAACTTATTGTGCTTGATGAACTTAAGAGAAATTATCTTGAGGACTTAAGCTTATTAGGCAATTGGCTGCAGCAGTTTTTATTCCTGAAGCTGCCTCTTAGTTTATCTCTGGCTACTGTGTACTGRTAGTTACTATACCAGGTGTTCTATCTGTGGACAAGAAGGATTATGTTTCTTTTTAGTTGATGGAAAATAAAATCTGTACAATCCTTTGAGGGACATTTAATTTGGAGGCAGTGAAATGTGAGGGATTTCAGTTTAAAGGGGAAAATATTAACACAGATTTTAGAATGTTGACTGGCACAGAGTAGGTACTCATGTTTTATAAGAGAAAGACTTTTCTTGTGAGTAAGGAGTGGATGGTGTGTTATTCTGTACTGGAGGTGCTCCTGTACCAGTTCTCAGGGTATTACGCTCAAGCAGACATTTTGTACTGCACAATAGGCTACATTTGTCACCTGCTTGCTCAGAGACAGAAGACAACTTGTGGCATTTTTTTTCAGCAAAGTGCTCTTATCAGTTTGGAGGTCCAGTCTCTGGTCCYCAAAGTGAGAGTTCATTTGTAAGGTGAAGAGACCACAGGAGTGGGTAGAAGAACTTCCTAAGTGGAAGWACTAATGATGAGATCCCAGGACGGTCCATGCCCAATTTCAGGAGTTACATGCTCAAGAAATCTCAAAGCAATGGCTCGCCACCATTTGTGGCCTT